AGTGTCAAATGCTGACATTCCAGGAAGTCTTACTTCAGAAACGAGGATTCAAAAATAAAAGAAAATGCCCGTTTGGGGAAAAATAGATGCTAAGAAGGGATAAAGTCACCTTTCAGTTTGATAATATAATAAAAATTAAAATAACTTCCAACTTTAAGAGTTTCTGAAATGGTTTTTACAATGAAAACCAACAACATAAAATTTACATAATTGAAGAAAAGCATATTTAATGTATGCTCTAGTAAACTGTTTTATACAGGTACACTATAAAAGAATTGTTAAAATGAGGTTCCAAGTTACTCTGTAGCTTATATTTATGGTTTGAAGTTTATTTAAGTACTAAAAGAGCTTCAATTCAAAGTTTGTTACTCACTAAGGCTCAAAATCTCAACAAAGATGAATTATCCCAATTTATAAAATAGTAATCTCATGGGAGCATCTAGCTTATTATTAATTCCTAAAACAAAGATAATTAAAATATGAATTAATGATCAATCACCTCACAAGTGATTAAATGCTTTTAATATACCTAGAACTATGTAGTCACTCTAAATGATAAATACAATTCATTTACGGAGAAAAGATAGAAGACAGAGCCAATTTATATCTCCGATTAAACAGTCTTCTGTAAACGTCATAAAATATCAAAGCCTAAAGTTGGCAAGGCAGAGCAAGTCTGAAAGTAAACTTGAAGCTTGCCAATATGAAACAAAGTTAAAATTGAATATTTTAGCAATAAAAAATTATAAAAATAAGACCTGGCTTGGAGAATTGAATACTTGAATAAAATGGGTTAAATTTACAGTATGTGTGCTACTTATGAGTAATTGGCTGGTATACTTTAATGGCAGGACGTCCCCAAGTTCAAGTAGTAGCCTTTCAGGAGCCTGGATTGGATACAGACTCCATCAGAGTGAGCTGCGTTCCAGGCTCAATACAAGACATAGAAGCACAAAGAAATAAGACTTGCCTGAGTCTATTGCTCCTATCCTGGACCAGCAAAACCTTCTCCTATCTGTAGGAAAGATGAATTACTCCTCATGCCTCACACGATGTGGGGATGAAGTCTCTTTCATAGTGGAGGATCTTGGCTTCTCTACCTACATCCTAAAAATCTCAAGCAATAATCAAACAGCAGTTTGTTTTTCGAATTGTCGCAGGATGAGGCTGTAAACAAAGGAGTGTGGTACCTAAACCCAGCACCCAGCAGGGACCTGTGTGTGGTTCAGTTGCCATGTCCTCCAACATGCACCCTGTTCCCCTCCCCTTAGCAAAAGTTACCCCGGGGCTGAGAGTCGAATACCTCATTTTATGAGTCCTCAGGGCAGTTCCAAATAAATATAACAGAGTTGCTCTGCATAGGACCAGCCAGCACAGCAGGCTGGACTCTGGACATTCAATTAAGCACTAAGTTACAGGTGTCATGTGGACCCACCATGCCTGGGTAAAGACAGCACCCCAACTGAGGAAGGAGAGACTTGGACTGCCAAAGCCCACTCAGACCAGCCTCTCCAGGTCACCATCCAGAGATGAAGGCAGACACATCAGCCCTGGACCCACCTCACCCAGAAGCTGGCTGGTCAACACACGGCAGACATTTGAAGAACTGGACACCCCTGTTCCTGTTGAAAACCTGGAAGCTGATGTGTCTCTGCATGGTAGGATCTTGAGAAACTTAACAGGGGACAGCTGGAGATGGTGATCACTGTGCCTTCTTCCCTTTGGATTCACAGTATTGTTGACTTAGTGTTTTCTATAGGCCTAGCCACCATAGCTTCAAGGTGTGAAGCCTGGCTAAAAGAATTACGTTAGCCTTGCTGTATCTGTGAATGACAGACATTCTGGGGGGAATTATTTTCTTTCATTAATGATTTATGCCTTGCTACACATCCAAATAACAGCCTGTCATTGAAGATGAATGTTCTCTAAAAATGATATGGGACAGGCTTTTTTCTGTACCACATGTACCTTTTATCAAGTCTGTTTTCCCCAGTAACAAGTGGTGACTTTGACAAGAACTCACAAAATTTCTGCTACAATACTGTGTCGTGCCCTAAGGAACAGGCTTAAGAAAGATTAGCATGGGGCACCCCTCCATGCCCTGCATCATCGCCACTTTGCAAATGCCTATCAAGAGGCTTGGATGTTGCACAGCAGGGCTTAGCAATTGGTGAATGTAGAGACATTTTTAAGAATTCTGAAATTTTGTTTTCTTTTTTAAAACATAGAAATATTATATGGGGGGGACTTCTGCCCCTAGACCAAGCAGAGAGGGGCCACCCAGAACCCCCTCTGACTGGCGATCTGAATTCTTGCTTAGGATGCGAGGCTAAGCACTGCAAGGGAATATAAATAAAAGATAAAAATATCTCTCTGGGTTCCCTGAGGGATAAGCCTGACTGCATAGGGGTTGATGTCAAAAGTATTCCCTCTCCAGGAAAAAGACATCGGGATGGGTATGGCCCTCATGCCTCACTAGACAACAACAGGGGGACCAGAGCCATTACAAGGTCCCCTTCAATTACTGGAGGTCAGGCCTCTATCCCCACCTTCGCAAGATTAGAATTGCCACAGCCCTTCTATACTTAGAGAAGGGGGGAGACGTCAGGGGCAGCCCTGCTTACACACTGAAGGCCCCAAATCAGCCATAGGCCTAAAATCAGCAATAGGCCTGTCATACATGCATACTAACATCAAGTCTTGGGTCTCAGTGGAAAAACATTGAAACAGATGGCTATAAGCTAATGTAAACAGGCAGCTTTTGTGGAAATCTACAAGCCTGAGTAGTCACAGACCTTGTAAATAGGTAGCCTTGGCAGACAATACCAACTTAGATAAGGACAAGTGAGTCATAGGCAGAGTCATAGTGACTTGTCCCCTGAACCTTCACCCAGCCGATACCCAGTTCTGAAGATATCTGTATTCCCCCTGAACACCCACACTCCAGTGTCATTCCCTTCCCCACATCCTGCCTTTCTGTGTTTATAACCCCTGTGTGAATGAATTACGATTTGAGAAAAAATAAATTTTTAAAAAAAGAAATATTATATGAATGTGCTTTTGTTTTAATCCCAGGTGTAGGGGTATGAGGCTACTTCTGACTGTCCACATCAGTCATTTGCCTCACACTCTAGCAAAGGTTTTGCCAGCTGCCGATAATTTCTGCCATTGTGTGTGACCTTTTGGAATCCTGGAAACTTTTCAGAAGATACATAAATAAATATGAGGGCCCCCTAGAGGCAGGCTGGGTGAGTGTTGGTCATTTAGGGGGTTGGTTGTGGTTTGTTAGTAGTCATAGTCAAAGAAACAAAAGGAAAAGTGTGCATGATTATGTCACAGCCTGAATAAAAGACAAGAGACCCCACCCCTCTCTCCTTCTCCATCCCCTTCTTTCCTCCTTCTCTTCCCTACTTCCCCCAATAAACCTCTTCTCGTGGGAAAAAAGGAAACAAAAGGAAAGAGATTAGATTCAGAGATTTCCCTAATTCCTCTCTCCCCTCTATCCTTGTTTCTCTCCTGTCTAGTGTTAGGAGGTGAAACCAGGGAATAAAGAGAAAAGAAGAACCCACAAAATAGCAAAGACCGGCTACAAGTGAGTTTGTTTTTTCTCTGCCTGAAGCAAAGAACAAACTTCCAGGAATGAGAATCTAACTAATGCATGGCACAAGGGTGCTACAGTTGCTACAGATGTTACAGATGCAGATGCTACAGTTCTCACACAGAAACAGTTAAGACAGAACCCAGTTGGATGTGGTGGCATGCACCCAGAAAAACAGCACCAAGGAGGACTTAGGATCCAAGCCAGACAGAGCTACTCAGTGAAAACCAAACAAAAGAAAAGAGAAAGAAAACGGAGGAGTGAGAGTTTGCCTTGTGTACCTAGCCTCTAGGTTCAGTTCCCAGCAGCACAAAAATCAACAACACAAAAACCTGTAGAAAATCTTAAGTAAAAATCTCCAGGCATGTTTGCAAGTGCACCACAGGGTGGCGGTAGAGTACAGTAGTGAACTTGGCAGCATTCAAGTGGCAGCAACAAGCAGAGAAGGTAGGTATAGGAATTCCCAGCAAACCTGGGAGGCTAATTAGGAGGAAAGGGGACCCTAGACTCTCTGTAAGTACAAATGTCCCTCTTTCTGCTTTCTTCAATAGCCATAATGGAACGAAATAGGGAGAGCATCAGAAGGAACTGTGTATGGGGCCGGAGCATCAGATGGAACTGTGTATGGGGCCAGAGCAGGTGGGGGCGTTACAGGAAAATTTAAAGTCCCATTTCCAAAGCATTCCTAAAATCCAACAGGGCAAAAGTGACTATGGAAAGAATTCATTTCGAAAAGAGGAACCTGAGTAGGTGAAACTATTCCATTTCTATTCCATTTAATTATTTGTTTATAATTAACAAATTATATATATTCAGGCTGGGAGCATGAATATCTTTTACCCTGTGGGTCTTAGGGATCAAACACAGATTCTCAGCCTTACCAGCAAGCACCCTTACCTGCTGAGTCATCTCTGTAGCCCGAGTTTAAAGTAAATAAGAGGTATAGGTGTAGTACCTTACTCACGTTCCTTTTATAAGTGGATTAGATACATCAAACTTTGCTCAGAGCTGGAAGCGTCCTGTTGGACGATAAATCTGAGCACAGTACAATCCACACCTGGAACCGCAGCACTTAGGAAACTAATGCAGGAGGGTCATGAGTTCAATTCCAGCCTAGCCTGCCTTGTGAGAGCCTATCACAGAGAGAAAGAGCACAAAGTCCAATGGCTGAGAATATAGCTCGGGCTACAGAGCTCTTACAGTCTTTTCTCCCTCTCTGCCTTCAAGCTTCTTGGGCTGGCTAGATGGATCCGTGGGCATAGGTGCTCGATATACAAGCCTGGTGACCTGCTCTTGGCTCCCAGAAGGAGAGAACAAACCATAAAGTCGTTCTCTGAGCTCCACATCCATGCCATGTATGAGCACACACCAATACAACATAAAATACAGCAACAACCAAGACTGAGCTCAGTGGAGGAGCGTTTAATCAGCATGCACACAGCCCTGGGATTCAATTCCCAGCACTGATAAATAATTTTTAATATGGGCACTTAATTAATTTTACATAATATTTGTCTACTCTGTGCTAGCCATTGAGAACAGAATATTAAATAAAATCATTCCCCGCCACTATGAAAAATAGTACATATTTATTCAGATAGATAGTCCAGCATAGCCCAGGATAGCTTTGACCCTGGTATGTAGTCCAAGATGGTCTTGAACTCCTGATTCTTCTGCCTCCATGTCCCAAGTGCTGGCTGACATTTAGGATAAGTGCCACCACACTGGGCTTGTGTAGCAGTAGGGAAAGAACTCAGGGCATTATGGGTACAAGGTAGGCAGACACTCCAGGCATCCTGCCAACTGAGCTACACTCCCACCCCACCCCATCTTAAAATTTTGTTTCAAAGACAGAGTCTTATGTAGTTGAGGCTGTGCTCAGACTAAGTTGACCGCAGTGGCCTTGAACCCTGAGCCTCCTGCCTACACATTTCAAGAGCTGGGACCACAGGGGTGTGTTTCACTTTAACTGTTCTCTTGCCAAAATAGAAGACACATTGCATCAGCTGCCTGAAGAGGCTCTCCTGCCAGTCAAGACCCACTTTAGACAGAGAAAGCCCCTAAAAATAGCCATCCACGTGCTGGCTCAACAGGTGATTGGCTCTGAGCAGGGAGGAGATCCTCCAGACTGGGTAAAGGAGACGGGGAAGGACAGTGCCATTCCCAGCCTTCCTTCGACAATGGCTCTGCCTCTGAAGGTCCTGAGCCGGAGCATGGCCAGTGCAGCCAAAGGAGACCATGGAGGGGCAGGAGGTAAGTGGGGCCAGGCCTGACTCTGATTCAGTAGCCTAGCCTATCTGTTCTCTTCGCCCATGCTTCCCCCTCCCTCCATCTCCTGATCTGCCAGGCACTGATCTTTCCGACCTCTAGGCCCAGTGACAGCTTTTGCCTGTGAATCTCCACTCACTCTCACCTTTCCTCCCCCAGCCAGCACCTGGCGCCTCCTGACCTTTGTGCTGGCTCTCCCCAGCGTAGCCCTCTGCTCCCTTAACTGCTGGATGCACGCTGGCCACCGAGAGCGCCCAGAGTTCATCCCTTACCACCACCTCCGCATCCGAACCAAGGTATGCCAGAGGATGAGTGAGTGAGGGCATGCAGGGGAATTTCACTGGAGGGACTGTGGTGACCTGTCTGCCTTCTCTCCACAGCCCTTCTCCTGGGGGGATGGTAACCACACACTTTTCCACAATCCCCACGTCAATCCTTTGCCCACCGGCTACGAGCACCCTTGAAGTCTCAGCAGACACACTCTTCCAACAATCTCCAAATCGACCTTCTGCACACCGGCTCTGAGAGCCCCCTGAGGTTCCAGTGGACAGTTCCAATAGCAATAAAGGTGTGAAACTTTTGTGTCCTCTGGCTCTTTGGGAGCAGCATGGCAAAAGGGACTGGGTAGGCTCTAGGGCAGTTGGTATCTAGGTTCAAGTTACTTTTTATATAAGGAAAATGTGATGTTTCCCCCTGCATTTTCATTTTATTTTTTAAAAATTCATACAAGCAATATATTGAATATTGAGCATATTTTCCTCAGTCTGTATTGTGTGGTAATTCTTATCCATATATAAGTTTATGTTGACCCCATCCCTGCTCTTACAAAAAAAAAATAGATCAGCTCTGAAGTCTGACACATGGGCAGAAGCATAAAAATCCCCCAGCTCAGGAGGTTTGGCATCATGTCTGGGAAGTTTCCCAGGCTAGCCCAGAGCTGTGGGGAACTTGTCTCCATGCCAGTAGATTCATAGGCAAAAGCAAGACCGATCTCTTTGTGGTGGAGACACACAGGAAAGTGGATTCCTAGGACATAAGATGTAGAGGAGTCTCATAGTTGAAATCTGCCTGGCTGGCTGTGTCAGGATCTGCCGGCTTGCCATCCATCATTTCTTTGTACTGACGTTTGAAGAAGCCAAGCTATAAAATGTAATAAAGTCAGAAAAACTGGGTAAGAGGGAAGGGAAGAAAGTTGAAAAGTTGAAGATAAGAGAACTGAAGTAACTTTCAGCCGTGCACCAGAGCAGTCGTGTGAACAGACTGAGAAAGACCATGTGCCAAATAGTTGTTATACACTTAGCTGTAGGAGAAAGCCACTGGCTCACTGAAGCCACCGGCTCACTGTTAGGCAGATTTGCACACACGGCATGTCTGTTTCGCCTCAGCCATTTTGTGATGTATGTCTTACTGTTATTTCAAAAAGAAGAAACAGACAAAGACCAAGCAAATGTGATAGGGACAGAACATGAGGCCAAGCCTGCTCCACAACCACGATCTGAGTTTTCACTGTCCCATCATGTACATGGCAGAGCTGGTGATGAACGCTAGTAGTGTTGGGGAAAAGATGTGAAAACAACAATTCACCTTGTACAGTGCCGCTGTGATAAGAGCCAGTAACAGCAGACCTCCCACCGAGCTGCCTGCCACCAGGAAGATGGGCTCATAGACCACGGATTCTTCTAGAATCGTCTCCACCTGGTTTGAAAATCAGTGAGTGCCCATTCTTTCTCACACATACGTGCACGCATATGTTTGCACGCATGCAAACACACACACACACTCATACACACACATGCATACACATGAGCACACACATACACACATACACACACACACACACACACACACACACACCCCTATTCCCCTCTCTTGCCAAGGCCCATCAATGCTTCCAACCATTGAACTACAGAAGCACTCATGCATTCCCAGTGTCTAGGGACCTTCATCCTCCCTCCAGACTGGCAGACCCACCCCTTAGCCAACACCACAGACTGAACATTCAGAGCCCTCCCTCTCAGCAGCCTGGCTTCTGCCTGCCACAGTCACTACCTGGGCTCTCAGGAATGCCTCCTGCCCCGGCAGCTGGGAGTACACAGATGTGTTGAATGTGATTTCAGCCTCACTCAGGAGCAACACCTTTTTCTGCAATGTCTGCAAAAGATGGAGTGGGGCAGAGCTGGGAATTAGATCTGGGGCAGCTCAGGGTTCAAGAACTGCCCTGACCCAAGGATGCCCCAGACCCACCAGGCACACGTGGACCAGAGAAGGGACTCTGCTATTGGCCACGTACCTGACTGATCCAGCCGAAGCTGAGGTTGCCCTTCAGAATGAAGTCAAGCTCTTCCTGGACGCCCAAGGAGGGGATGTCACAGTGGAGGTGCAGGCAGTCAGCAATGGAGCAGTCCTGGGGACAGGAGGGGACAAAGCTGAGGAGAGGGGACCTTTACTTAGAAAGAGACAAAAAGATGAAATATAGGCTAACATTGAGTAGAGAATATAAAATCACAGCCTGACTACACAACTCTAATTCATTAGTACATTCCTCTGTGTCCCCCAGGACATGGGCTTTTCTCACCAGCACAGCACGTCTTTGAATCTGGGTCAGAAAGTCGGGATGCTGAGGAGGTTCCTTGTGTGACACACAGGAGATACCCTAGGAGTGGGGGAGATTTTCCTGATAAGAGCATGGCATTATTATAGAAAGGGATTCTGGAGAGAGAAATACCACAGGCTGGTACCTGTGCTGGGCCCCTCAGAGTCACATCCCACACCGCCACACCATTCAGAAGGATGGGGACCCAGAAGTTAACACTGACGGCCAGCTTCAGTGGACTCAGGTTATTGACCTGCAGGAATGGAGACCAGATATTGGTATGATCCCTAGAGCACCCAATTCACTTCTTATCCCTAGTTCTCCAGGCTGCCCCATCTTGAGCTGAGACCGGCATGCATATTCTCTAGCTTCTTACACGATAGTGATGTTCAGCCTCTCTCCTCTCTCCGTGGGAAGATGAGAAGTTGAAATGCTTGGTGGAATCTTCCTGCCTGGAGAAAACGGCAAGTTAGTGAAAAACAGCTCTGTTCCCATCTCCGTTTGAACCACAGCTTGCTGCAGAGAACTGGGCCCAGCATCTGATGCCACAAAACAACAATGGTCTCCAAATGCATCTGTAGCCACGGTGCCAGTTTCCACTCCTCTCCCCACGGAGCCTTTGCCAGGGGCCGGACTTACCAGCTCTTCCTTTGATACACTGACTTCTTTATACCCCCAAAGATCTCTTCCAGCTCCTTCTTTGGCAGGAAATGTTCTTAATCAAGTTCTAGCTATTTTCACTAGACCCAACATCTGCACAGTTCTTGTACTGATCAACATTTCCCAGTGGTGGGAAAGCACTTATATGTCTCCCATAGCTGAGAGTCCAGCAGATAGAAAGAGGCCTCTGAGCTCCTACAAAGTCTTCTGCCAGAGTAAATTAGCCTATGGGGGCCTACAGAGGGAAGGCTAGATTACTTGGGACAAATGGAGTGAACCTGTCTCTGGTGGCAGGCATGAAAGCAGATATAGTCGTGTTGGGGCTAGCAAGCACATGAGAAAGGAGATGGCCCAGGAATTCAAGCCAAGAGAGTCCCTAAATACTGACAAATTTCTATCTACCAGTTCTTCATTTTTCTTTCTTTTTATGTTTGTGAGATAGGGTCCATCCACAACCCAGACCAGCCTTAAATTCACAGCAATCTTCCTGCTCCTGCCTTCCAAATGCAAGGATTACAACCCATGGCTTTCAGTAGATACTTACTGTTACAAAAGAGGGTAGAGAGGGGCACAGGAGGAGTAGGAGGGGAGAGAGAGAGGGTGTAGGTTGTGTAAATATATTACTCATGTATGAAATTATCAAACATAAACGTTTAAATTAAATAATGAAGAACATATTTAATTTTGAAAATGTATTATCAAATACCACTGCTAACATGAATAAACAGTTTCACACACAGAAGACTTTTTGCGGAGTGTTTGGACAGTCCTGAGGATTTCAACAGTTATGTCATGGTCCCTGCCTTCTCAGTCCTTGGTGATGTCTCAAATCTCAACAGAACTAATCAGGAAGGTATCATGGTGCCCAACAGGCAGGCAGA